ACACAAACACGCACACTAACACACACACAAACAAACACACACACAAACACACACACACAAACACACTACTACTACGACTACACACACACACACACACACACACACACACACACACACACACACACACACACACTCATACATTCCTCCAACCGTGAAAAACAACATCGACCGTGAAGGGAGACAAGCATTACCTCCACTCTTTCATCTCACCGGCAATCTGCTGCCTTAGTTACCGACCAAATTGAACCCGCATCCCGCTGAGAGGAAATTACCGAACGGTGTTAGCTTCTCGTTTTCCCCGCTTGATTCTTCCTGACAGGTTCGGCCATTTTCTATCAGGAAGGATTCCGTCGGACCAGAGAGGGGGATATACGGGAAGATGCTACTTGACAGCCGCGTAGTCGGGGAGCAAACGAGGGGCAACAATTTACAGGAAGACCCACAACACACGGCGTCTTCCAGACACACTTGTAGGGTTCAGACTCAGCGATGCAAGATATGAGTCATCTCTTGATATGTAGCTGCAATATATAGTTACCTCCGGGGAAGGAGATATCCTTCCGCGAGGAGGTTTTACTATGGTTCGAAACATTTCTGTCAGCAGCTGTTTCTCGCGATCGGCTGGACGGATTTGTCTGTGGTTCGGTATACGTATTGCTGTTGGGCTGCAGATGATGCAGAACGTTTTTGTTTAATTGTATATGTGTTTATGGGCGTGGAAATAAAAGGTTTTTAAGTGCTCCGGACACCCCCGCCATGCTGAAAATGGAATTTACCATGTTGTTAAGGAATGGGGAGGTTTCAGTTTTGGGTCTTACCATTTAAAAGGGGTCAAACAGAGGGGTGTCTGCTTCCGATATGTATTTTGAAATATTATCGCAGTTGTATCTCGCGTTGGGGTAGACTGGACTCGGTGTATGTTCTTCTAATGGGCTGTAGATGGTGCAGGTTTTTTTGTTTTTATTGTATATGTGTTTTGGGGCGTAAAAATCTGAAAATGGTCGCGCGCGGCGCTGGGCTGGCTGCCAGCGCAACTTCCGGGTGGGCCAATGGGTCAGGGGTCAACGCCCTCTAGCGCAATCTTGGATGTTTTCGGCGTATAGTACGACTTCTTAACTTACAAATACCGTGGTATACTGTCTCAGACGTTCTCGACATGCATTTTTACCGTGGGTACATGGTATGGGCTGCAGATGAAAATGTTGACCAGTCCTGTATTAACACAACCAGGAACGCTAAATCTAACACATAAAATTCAACACCATCAACTATACAGAACAAACAACATGGAAAAATATACAATAAAAAGCCCGGAGGTATAAAATCTCAGATTTTACTTGTTTGAGATTATGATTTTATGAACATCATTAATTTCCGGTAAATGTTATAAAATTGCTGTTCTGTGTAATATGCGTACCCTGTCGCATCGTTGGCTTCCGGTGCGTAATGACGGATTTGTCTGCCGTTAGAATTTTAAGTTTAACACATAGTAGTCATAAATTAAGACCTAGAAACTATGAATTACAACGTAGCCATTCAACCATGTTTTCATGCTGTGACTTTATATTTCAGAGCTTTATTTCAAAATCACATACAGTAGTTTTCATGAATGGATATACCATGCATTGGGTATTCATAGAAAACAATATTTAGTTATTGTTTGATTACTGAATCTACGGCTTGTTTACTTACTTTCAAACTTTAAGCGTTCAAACTTTAAAGTGCCCGTGAAGTAAAATGCACGCAGGTATTGTATCATGTAAAAGCCATTGCAGCGTTCACATCGCCATGAAAGTGGTTCAGTCAAGCGTTCTGCCCTCTCTCCCAAATCTAGTCTATTGTCGTCCTTCACTTCTCCTTGTATAAAATCACGTCTTTGATCTGCTATAGGCCAGGCACGGCGAACGAAGACGGCGTGAACCGGTGGCACATTCGACCATCTGTGAAAGCCCGGCTTCCCTTAAACTCATTAAGTCCTCTCTCTTTACGGCCATTCCCTGCGCCGGTTTGATTTAAACAGTTCCATTTCTTCCCACGCCCGGCGATGCCTCGTTGGCGAGTTGGTTGATTATCTCTGCAGGAGCGGCAGGCTGGTGGCAGCGGGGTAATGGCGCGTGCATTCACCGTAGACTGATTCGGGTGCTTCTCCCTGCACGGATGGGTGGGTAGGGTAGATGCATGCCATCGTACTAATAACCCGCAGCACTATGTCACGTCACATCTACAGCCATTAGGCGGCGCCGGAACGTGCTTTTAAGGCTAATTCTGCGCTCGCAGCCGTGGCATTGCCTACAGATTGATGTGAGTGCTTCGGAGTAACTTCTCTCGCTACTAATGAGGCGTCATCAGGCCAATATCCGATCGATGGCAAAGAAACACGTTAAAACAGCGTAATAGGAATGCGCTGGCATGTAGCGTTTCCTCCGTCAAATAAACTTAATCCACCCCCGAAAAGTTCCAATGTCCCAGATGTCTTGAAACGCTGTGAGAATAAATCTCAGTTGTGATTTTTGGCCACTCGGGCTGCTTTGAAATCGCTTTGAACGACTTTGTAGTGGCGTTTCACGCGCTGCGTCTAATACGCTTTCAAGGGACCTCTCTCTGGTAACAGTCATCTGTCCAGGTTTAATAGCAGAGCGCAATCTTCTCTTCAATGTTCCGTGCTTGAACTGCGAGCTAAGATCACACGCCAAGCGTTAATGGAAAGTTGAAATTGCGCAGGAAGAGAGAGACAGTCAAGGGAAGGGCAAAACTTTCCGACCTTCTTGAATACCGCTTGTTCTTGAATCTGAGTGGCATGGCTTTGGGAGTCCTCGGCTGCCTTCATCAATTACAGTGGACTCGTGGCGCTTGCTAATTTTGGTAAAAGTTTATTCTAGCACCTACGTGAGAATACAAACACTTACAGCGACTCACACAGTCCCTACTACCCCTACTGTATCAAACACACAGAACACATGCGCAGTGCCTACGGTAGAATCGTGATTAAGATTGTTTGATGTTGGCCTAAGATTAACGACGCTTAGCATCTGTCTTTATTACCAGCTCAATCTCTGTCGATAGTTTGCGTTAGCGCTAATCCCTTGAAATCGCGAACCCTTCATATCAATATTATTACATTAAGACGAAACGTCTGTGCGTATAAAAATCCAATAGCTTGAGATCCTTTCAATATCAGCACCTCTCCGACCGTTCCCCGGTTCGTGCGATCATTCTCAGAGCTTAGTTTGGCCCTGACACTCCAAAAGGACGGCAAGGAAATCGAAACGCAAAGAGTTTTTTGTGTGATTTATGGCAAGACGACTCTTTGCCTTCATGTGCGCTCGTACATCATATCGTCTACCAGACAGACAAACCAGAACGCGCGCGTATATTTGTGCCAAGCCGAGCTTGAGTCCGATTCCTCAACTATAAACCAGTCATACGGGATTTTGACGTAACGTTTACGTATCGCCAAACTGTCCTGTAGGCTTAATTGGAAATGGCATGCAGTAGCACTTGATTTAATACATATTGAATTAACGATTTTTCTTCCTCGAATAGTTGGTCTCGGTCGCAGGCAGAAATCAGTGCAGGTATATACCACGGAGATCCGGGCAGAATCAGGAATCCGATTGCCCTTTTCTCGCTACAGTTTACCGGCATATCTCCCGACATGTCGCGGGAAATAGGGATTTACCTCAACCACGTTTCACTTCATCCGCGACGAGACAATTACCCGAACCCAAACACTGCATCATATGGAACAACAGATGGGATCTCGTGTTTGTAAACACAGATAAATTAAACTTCCTCGCCGGCAATACATTATGTACATTTGAAGCTGAATGTTACTTGTTTGACAACAATGGTTGAGAGCAATGCTCGGAGAACCCACAGACTTACCTCGGAAACAGACGTTAGGACAAACGCAGCCGCAGTATGAGCCGCAAGGTCACGATCGCGGAGAAGACATGCGGTTTAAGTGGCGATGTATGTACCATATGGGCGGAAATCCTCCACGCAAAGCGGCAAACACGCGTCCCGCGGCCTGCCCGCGTTCCCGTCGGTTTTGCAAATATTTTTGGCCTGCCCCGCGCATTGTAGACATTGCTGGACGGCATACGATAGCCGAAACCTTTCACCGCGCCACTCAGGTCCAAAATAACAGCCTGTGCGTACATACCCGGCCAGTTGGGACCGACACACCCGCCCGAATAACTACCCCCAATTTTGTTTTACAGACGAAAATGAAGTTTAAAAAGTTAGAATCTGATGACAAACCTCGTAACAGTCCCTGCACGATGATCATAGGCTCCGAGCGATGTGTGCCTGCCCGGCGGCGTCTGCCTGCTTACCTCCCGAAGACATCCCACCAGGAACGCGCGTCTTCAACTGGCGATACCCTGCATGAAATAGCAAAGATAAGAAGTACCGACTACTTGCTAGGTCTCAGACGTGGCAAGCAAGCCGCGCGAACGGAAGTCAAGCTACATTGTCAGAACGAGACCCGAACAAATCTTGGGCGCTTACCGGTTTTAATTAATGTATGGAAGGGTGCAGCAACGGCAATCTATATCCCTCCCAACTATATGGGATTTCCTAATGGTCTGTCTCTGGGGGAAGTAAAAATGGAAATGCAATTGCTTTATCTCCAGCTTCAATCAAGGTGATTCAAAACATAAACGTGCAGCACGAAGAATCCTTGCGAACAATCATTAACGCGGGGCGGGAGTAGATTGGTGTTTATTAACGACATGACCCAAGACGCGTGCTGGTAAATTGGTGTTGATGTCCCGTCATCCCTTGTGTTTGCCCCCCCCCCTCTACAACCCTCTATCGATTATATTATTGGCTATCTTTTCTCCGTTTGAAGGAGCTTTGGCACTGGAGATGACTCTATCGTGCCCGGGCCTCTGATGGACGGGGTACCTTTGTACTCTACTCAACATTTAGATAGCGCTGAGCTAATCTAATTACTCACCCAATATGGCAATGCAAACATTTGGAATGGAAGAAGAGAGAGTAATCTTGATGCGATCCTAATGTTACACGCTTAATGGAAATGGCAAGAAAGCAGAAATTGTGATAATATCTTATCATTGGTATAGAATTCAAAGAAATAAAGCTTTCGATACTTAATGGGGTTGTTTTGATGTACTACTAAAATGTGATACTACTTTACAGATACAAACACACGTATATGACATCTGTGTCCATATAATATTGCCACCTTGAGAAATAGTGTGCTTAAAGATATTTTTACTGCATCATACCCTACATGTAGGTATGTACATTCGATGTGTGAAGGAGTGCATACCAAAAGTATGTTGCAGTAGAAATATCTTTAAGCACACTATTTCTCCAGGTGGCGATATTATGGACCCTGGTGATATTATGGACACACATGTTACTGTACTGTATTTAAAAGATGACAACAATTTTGATTTCTGTTTGCATTCATACATGACAGGGCATTAATCATTACAGTGGTTGACGCATTACAAAACTGTTAGTTCGTGCCACTGAAATTAGCAAGAAGCCCCATCTAGCGGTTGAAGGTAGCCATTCACTTGGAAGATCCAGTTTATGATAATGTATTGACCCATCATTCCCAAGGGGATTGGTTTTGAAACTTCACAGAGCAGACGACGACAATGATGGTAAGCTAAATGGCACTCTTTGTAGATAGTAGGCCGAGAAAAATACTGTACCTAAATACATGTACTTATTTACTAAAAGAAGTAATGAAATATGAAGTATACAAGACCAGTAACGTCCATCGAGAAATTTTCATCCTATTTTCATACTTCAGGAATATTGTCAATAAATGCGATGTATTAAAAAGCTAACTGTTTAGGGATGGCACCTGTTAAAGTGATGATATTCTCTTAAATGTATGGATTACCGGAACCTTAACCCTCCCACGGAAACATTATCTTTATCAGTCACCCTATTTTCGAACTTCAGGAATATTGTCAATAGATTCGATGTGTTCAAAAGCTAACGTTCAATGTGACGTTTAGGGATGGCACCTGTTAAAGTGATGATATTCTCTTAAATGTATGGATTACCGGAACCTTAAACCCTCCCACGGAAACATTATCTTTATCAGTCAGCTGTGTTGAGAATGGTAGAACCTCCGTAATGCCTGTTTTATCACGGTACGTTAACGTGCAGGATGTCGCCGTTACCTCCATTTGTCGTATCATCCCAATATCTATCGCTGGATTACGGCTATAAGACGAGACGAATATCAAGTAGAGAGGCGGAGAAATAAAATTAGCGCAATGATGCGTGCTACCATAACATTACCGCCCCCCCCACACACACACAAAGCAATACTTCAATATAGTATTATGTCTTTGTTAACTATTTTCTGTTCGATGGCGGCGCTTATATAAGTGTATAAACTTGAGTGCATCGTCATCGCAGTCTTGTATTTTCTTGTATGTGCTTTAATAAAACAAAAAAATAAAAAAAAAACAAGCAAGATGGCAGGACTGTTACTCACTCAATTTGGTCATGCAAATTACAGCGTACCTTATAACAATAAGATAAATTTTGTTGTTCTTGAAGTAGACAAAATTCATCATTTTGCTGTCAATTTTGAGTGAGTAAAAAACATCCAGTTTTTCACAGCTCTTCATCCCATATGAACTATTTGGAAGAGTTTTCTACTGTACCGCATTAGGTTTAACTGACATGAATGATATCCACTGCAAAGGCACTTGGCATAGGAATGTTTTGACAATAAGAATAAAGTAAGGCTCTCTGTCATTTAGACTGTTGCTGGCCATGGATTGGTAGAAAAGAAAGATCATTTCAATACTTCTTATTTGTACAGCACCCATAGGAGCCGTCTTTGCAACAAAATGGCCCAGGGAAATATTGCACGGCTTTGCTGAAAAGTACCATGTCAATTCGGCTCTAGCTCTGACAGTCTCAGTAGTCAGGAGTCTTTGCGTTCTGATAGTTATCGTGTACTTTTATACGTACGTTGTGCTCTTCCCATGCTGATACTACGTATTTACAAAGAAATTTGATTTCCAAACAATGTCCCTGCTTTTCAAACATAAGCAAGGCCCACGTATCATTCGGGTGCTTTTCTGCTAACCTTACTTTTGCTGACATACGTTGGAAACCGTGTCCTTCATTTGACCCTTGACCTTAGCTCCAACAGGTCCCTGGGGACGACTCCGTCTCCATTTTGAAACTGCGACAGCTGAGGCTCTCTGTCCCAGAGTGATTACTTATCTGTGATCCCCTTCGGTTGAATTACGCTCTCCGCTAAAATTAGATTGCTGGGATTTAGGCAGACGTTTCACATGCATAGCCTGGGGTGTGCGGATTAGACACGTCTAGATAAGCCGTTTTTATCTCCCTTAATCTGTAAGTAAAAGTGACGCCAGAAGGCCTTTATATCTTCCACTGCGTCAGTGATAAAGGTTTATAAAGATATCATGACTAAAGCACTTAGAGGTGGAAAAAAACATTAATGCACACATTTACTACATCACTTTGGAAATGCATTCTTTTACGATGTTTTTCTGGTATAATGTCTATAGTAACTACATCAAAATCAATTTGTGTTAAGCTCATTCCTATTTAGCCGGGATCTGTTGCTTTTAACTGGATGTAGAATATCCAGTCTTCGTATATACATGTGGGCTGGGGTATAAGTCATTTTTGTCAGTAGAAACCAATTTAAATTGATCTAAATCCATCCTAGCCTGACTAAATCGCGCTTCTGGCGGCCGCCACCCTAAGGTTGCCCCCCCCCCCTTGGGGTGGGGGTCATTGACCTCCGGCTGAAAGAGCTTGTGTAACACAGGCTAAATCCATCCTTCTGATATAAACATGTATTACACTCTGCTAGATTAACATTGCATTTTTCTTACATGTACAATATGCCACTAACTGCCTCAACCTTGTAGATGAAACCTCCCCAACCGTTTTAGCCGCCATTCCCTCCCAAAATTAGCGAATTGTTTGTACCACCAGGATTAAGTTTAACCCGCTCGATGTATATTTTTCAACAACTTCTAGACTGACAAGTGTTAAAGGGCCTAACAGTGATGTTTTTCCGAAGTAGTCTGTTGTACAAGTTCGCACCTATATGTGAAATGCCTTTGCTGCCTACTGGAAAGTACGCCCTGTCCTTGGTGCTGAAAACACCATCCGTTCGTCTGTGGTACGGGAATATTCCATAAATGTTCTTCGATAGGTAGAGAGACGAAGCATGGCGTAATGAAGTAAAGTTCTGGTACATTTTTTCAATATTCTCGATATGTATTCATAAGAATGATAAGGATAACTTACAGAGGAAAGCAATTTCAACCATTATGTTGTAACACATGTTAACACATACCATGATTGGTTTTGACATCTACATAACTCATTCTTCTTTAGTCGTGCTTAACATGTTTTAAAAAAACTTTTATGACTTTATGGAGTCGAAATTTTTTTTTTGCATCTCTGTTCTTTATTGAGTATCGAATACATATGTACATAGATAATAAATTGTTACATCAGATTCATCAATTTCTGTCTGTTTGTACAATCTTTAACTTAACTATCCTGACAAATTGTCTAATACCTTTATATATATTTCAGAATGGTATACAACTAACAAGGCTGATTTAGAAACTACAGAAAATATGCACATACCTTTTTCTCACAAATGCACAGACTTATCAAATGTCACGAATTTCGATATTGCACATAAATACTGTAACACTATATCAACTAAGATTCAGTTGAATTTAGGGCTAACTAAAGAAGGCATCAAATGTTTCATCAAATAGAGTCGATTTTAAATGAAAGCCTAATCATTTTACGAGATTATATGCTTAAACTAAGCATTATTACATTTCATTATACGCACCACGCCTTTTTTTTGGTGACACATACTGTTGGCTAGCGCGCTCTAATGTCTAGACTTTGTTGGGTGACTACAGATACGTGAGACATTTGAAAGTAGTTCAACCTACCTTCTTATAGCTTGTGTCTCTTCTCCATTTCCTTCCTGATTCCCATGAAAGACGACTGTTGTAAGACGTCCCGCCTGCAGCCGAGTCCCGGACGCCACGCGTCTGGTCGTTTTCGCAGCTGGCTCCGCCAACGAAAGTGTGATTAAAAACCCCAGCCTGTCCGAAAATTTAATCTAACTCTCCGGGAAAATTAGGTTGCGGGGTTGACTGCAATCGATGCCCCCGCGTTAATCAAGAGGATTGACCCGGTATGTTTGTGTTATCAGGCGGGGGCTGGTCACTCTGTGGCCGGCTGGGGAGGGGTCACGTCTCCGGTTGTCATCAATTTGTGTCCCTGACACGGATGGAGAAACCAGGGTTAGGGGGCGGAGGGAGGAGGCATAATCTCCAAGCAGATC